AATTTGAATGCACATAAAACAAAGTTGTTTTGCCCATGATAATTTTTATTATTCACTGAACAACCTGTTCTGCCAGACTGCCTTACTATTTAAACTATGTCACAATGTTTCAAAGTTGTATTATTTTCACTTGCTGCATCTAATTAGGAGGTGTCACAGATAATCTTTTAACTTACTATACCTGTTTAGCAAAAAATATAGTATCTAATCTGGAGTCCTGAACAACAGAGCCAGCTGGTTCTTCTCCTGGTTGCCACTTGAACAGAAAAATTAATCCATGAACTGGCCTACATAAAAAGGGGCACAAAAAGAAAATAAGCAAGAAAACCCAGTAAAGCATTATCACAATGTGTCGAAACTTAAAACACTAAGCATCCTTACTGGAAACAAATTCACTAAACCTAATTGAACACACACATAGATTTTTTAATGGTTACACCAGAACAAAAAGGTGTAAAATCTTGTTTAGTAAGCCCTACTGTGCCTGAGGTATGCGCTGGTGCATGCAGTCCGCGTGTTGACATGTAACTCTTCTCTTCAATCAAACATGAATAAGAATGACAGAGATAGTTTAGCATGATGTCTGAACCCGAGGCAGAGGTTTGTTTTGTTGTAAGAAGCCACAATCTCTACCCAGGCTTAAGCCATAACTGGTTGATGGTTTAACAACCAAGGGTAAAAAACCAACCACTACCCCGGGCTCCTACATCACTTCTACATATCCCTGTTGTGGTTTCCTTGTTTGCAAGAAGCAAGTGTTTCTGCTGTGTGAACAGTATGCTTTGCTAAACCAGATGTGGCTTAGTACCGAATATGAACATAGAAAATTATTACTTTTAACCCAACCAACACTTAAAAGCTCAGGACAGGAACTGCCCAGGGTCAGCAGGAAAAGAAATGCATGCCTTTCCAAAAAAATTTGCAGGATGCTGCTCCCAGCTCCCTCCATTGTTCACTTTAATGTATGAATGGAACACACAACGCTGTAAGTGTGCACTATTATACCTGATGGATTTTTAGCAATAAGAATTGGGGATGGGGGAAAGAGAAGTAAATTATTTGGAATAAAACTTACTTTAATTTCTCAAAGTTCTCTGGCTCCAAACTCCATATTTCCTCTACTTGCGCGCCTCTACAACCTGTAGTAGCAGAGATAATTATTGTAATTATTCCTGCTTAGAAAGTTTGCTTTACAGGAAAAACAGAAAGTAAAACCTGACACCTCTTTCGAAACAACTTAATTTTGTTTCAATATACAGAAATAACTTCCACCCCTTCTATTGCATTTTATAATAAATTGGTCCATGATATATGTAAATCATGATGGCATGAAAATCATGCCAAATTTACATATTTACAAACCTTATAATAAAAACGAGTTGCTAAAAATGGATGTCTCAGAATGTCCACAGTGCCACAAATAGGTGGGATACTAAAAATGTGGCGTCTGAGAATTTGTATAAAGAAGACTCTTGACAGACCTAATATTGCAAATATCTGTTTAAATTGTAAACACCTACCTGGTGGGGTAAGTTACCAACCATGGTGCTAAAATAGCCAATAGTTTCTTATGCACAAAAAAGGTTTAGTAGTAGCAGTTACAAGGGATACTTCTTTTACTTCAGGCACTTAATTATTAAAACAGTGGAAGTTGTGGCTTACTTATTGAAGCAATGTTTTTTATTAATTCACAATCCTAAACCATGGTTTAATTTAGGCTTAGAAAGGTATTCCAATATATTATGATTCAGGAAGAAAATGTGCAATGAAAGAACTGGCAAAGGTGAACAATGCGCATTAGGAATGCTCTGAAGCAGAAATTATTTTTAATGAATGTGTGCAGAACTCAGAGATGAGACCTTGTGTACCTGTCAGCATGTTTAATGACTCAGCTTCCCCAGAGCAAACAACGAATAATAGCAAGCTACATTACATCTACCAGATAGGATGATAGCAAAGTCATCTGCCAGGAATTTTATTATCATTATTTGTTAATCTGAATAGCTCCTTTCTTTCAAGGATCTGAGACAGATGCTTTAGCCTCAAATCAAAGCAAATCATAAAGACAGATTAAGATTAGACAGATGGACAGTAACTTGTCTAAAGTGGTCCATCCACGACCACTTCACTCATCAAATTGCAAAAGATGCAACAAAGTGTAAATTCAATAAGGAGACACAACCAACTCCAGCTCCCTATCAAGCACATTCCTATGAAACATGTTTGTAAATGCCCACTTGAGATCAGTAGTGAGAAATCTCTGGCTTGTGGGTTAACTAGGCCCACAATGTCTCCATTTGGCCAAGCCATACTCCCCTGCCCTACAAGTGACATCATACACAGTATCACGTTTGGGGCAGAGAAATATGTACCTGGGTCAAAAGGAGGCTTAGACCTATGTCTAAATTGTGTTAAATGCACACACACAAGCCACCAACACAATTGACATGAGTCTGCAAATACAGGGACACATACAGGGCAGTGGCTGGCTACAACTCTTTCGAACACAAAGCTTGATGGCAAACCTTCTGTGGTGCAAAAAAAATGGCCCATAGCCACACACAAAACCAGAATAATGCTATGAAGCAGTTCTACACAAGCCCTTGCACCCAGGCTCAGCCCAAGTCCAACACCATGGAAGATATCCATTAGCATATAGACATATGAATAGGGTCAACTGCAAGTACATCAGGGTGTGACTTTGCTAGGATTTCCCAGCCATGCTATCTTGACCGGGGCATGATCTAGTCTGGGAACTGAGCTTGTTCTCTCCTGCTCTGGAGGACCTGAACCAGACACTTCACGTTACGTTTATGGCAGTAACGGACGCCCTCGGGAGGTTGTGGACCCCTCCTTCATTAAAGGTTTTAAAGGAGAGGTTGGATGGCCACCTGTCATGGATGCTGTAGCTGAGATCAGGAGTGCCAACTTGAAAAAAAACCAGGGGAGCCCCAGGTATGCCCCACCCCGCATAAGCAACCACAAGACGCGGCACATGCACACCTTTGTATGGCAAATCCCATCATCTTTAAAGGGGGGGCCTGGACCCCTCAAATATTTTATAGAAGGAGGGGAGGGGGCTTAAGGGACTTCAGCCCCTAGGAGTTGGTGCCTATGGTTGAGATTTCTGCATTGTAGGGGCTACCAGGAGATGATGCTTCCTTTCCATGAGTCTATAAAATAGCCGGGCAGAATGACAAGGCAAAAGCATGCGAGCCTTACACATCTTTCATTCAGGGCCAGATTTAGGTTTGATGAGGCCCTAAGCTACTGAAGGTAATGGGGCCCTTTATATGTCCAGCTGTCCTTTGTCAACAACAAATTATCGCTGTTTTTAGGGAGCAGGCTAGCAGTCATAGCTGTCAACTTTTCCCTTTTCTTGCGAGGAATCCTATTCGGAATAAGGGAATTTCCCTTTAAAAAACGTTGGCAGCTATGCTAGCAGGCTTACATCATAAGAGCCTACACAACACAAAACACTGTTGCTGTATGTAGGTTTTATTTGGGTTTTTTTCTTTTATTTTGGAAACGTACACAAGTCCCTCCCCCATGAATTTTTTTGGGGAGCCCCCAAGAGAGTGGGGCCCTCAGCTATAGCTTGTTTAGCTTAGACGTAAATCCAGCACCGACTTCATTGCAACCCAACCCGCCTGCCTCGTGCCAGCTAAACGAAAATCTTGCTTTCCACAGGATGGGAGAGGCGCTCTGCACACACCTCGGAAGCACCGTAGTGAGGACTTCTACACACCAAGAGAGGAAGCTGGCTTTCCCAACTAAGGCGCTCTGCACATGGCAAGAGACTACGTTTCCTCCAGCGAATAAAAGGCAGCTGGGGAAATCCTAGCCCCCCTCCTCTCCCCGCTGGCAAGGCCCCGCCTCGCCCACCCGCCTCCCCGCGAAGTGGGCCGCCGCCAAGCCTCACCGAAGCCCTTGATGAGCTCCGTGAAGACGCCCGGGTCGCTCTCCATGAGGCACCACTCGCCGGCGCTGCCTCCTCCCGCCATGGCGCTGGAGCGGCCGCAACTGCCTCCCCCGGGCGGGCCCCGTTCGCTCGCGTTCTCTCTCGCTCCGTCCGCCTGACGCGACAACCCGTTCCTACTATTATTATTGTTATTGTTATTATTTAAAAAAATTCTCTCTCTCTCCTCACGCCGCCCTCGAACGCCCGCAAAGCAGCGCACGCGCCGCTCCCTTCCCGGCAACCTCTGCGGCAAGGGCCGCTTCGACGTCCGTCGCCCAGGCAAGTGTCTCCTTCGTCTCTATGGTGAAAGGGGAAAGGGAGGGAAGCCAACCACCGAGATTGTAGACCTCTGGTGCGCACGCGCAGGGAGAGTCACGTGAAAAGGGGAACCCGTTCTAGCCCCGCGTCTCTATCGTCCCCACTGCGCCGTGTCCATGCATTTGGGTTTCGCGGTCGATTCGGCCGGCGACCGGAAGTCCCTCTGCGCGTGCGTAGGAATCTGCCACTTACTGAATAGGGGTGGTCGCCAGTTCGTGGAATGGTAGCGCCTTTCCGCCAGGCATCCAGTCTCCCTGCCTAACCACCTTTCCTTGTGGAAACATCATTATTCGATTATGATTCTGTATTTAGTTATTCCCTTACTGGACTCAAGGCGGAGAACAGATTTAAAAAATGCTTGCTCGAGCCTCGTTAGTCTCTCTTCGAGCATCTTCCCGTGGCAGAACTACAGCTCCCATCAGCCCCTGCAAACACGCCAAATGGCCAGGGGATGCTGGGAGTAGTAGTACAGCATCTTCCGGCGGGCTATTAAATCTCCACACACTTAAAAAGGGCCTAGCTAAGTGGAGAAAGCGTCGCTAAGCTCACTCGGGCCTCACTTTTGTGGTGCGGAGGCCCAATTCTTGAAAGTATGGAGGCTCCTTTCCCGTATGAAAAGGGATACATGAGCGACACCTCTCATTCCTCCATAAGTGAATCTTATTTATTAATTTATTTATTAGATTTATAATATCTCAGGGTGAGTCATAAGCCAAGCGGCGGTTGGCTGAGGGGTGAGGATGAGGAGAGAACTGGTGCTTCTCGCTCCATCCGGGCCTTTGTTTTCGCGGCGTGAGGGAAGCGCCGGCCGGGAAGGCGGGGTCGGGCGCCGACATCCGGGTCCTGGGGGGGATGGCCTCCCTGAGCCGCTGCATCCGGGTCCTTCTCTCGTGAGGGAAGTTGTCAGGAGGCGCGAGGGGTCCTGAGGCGGAGAACGAGAAGCCTCCGAGCTGCCCGCCGGGACCTCCCCACCCCCGCACCCTGCCGAAGGCCGCTCAGGTACGGCTTCTTCCTCGGGCGGCGAAGGGCCGGGACGCCGGAGGACCCGCCCTGTCCGTCTCCCTCAGCGGCTCGGGCGAGTCGGCGTAGGGAATCCTCTGCTCACCCTGAAGGCCTGGCGGCGGCGCCCAGCCTTCTCTCGCCGCCTCGAGCGCGCTTACTCCACACACGCGTTCTCACGCTCACACGAGCGCCGCGAACCGACAGCAGCTGGCTAGGCAGTTGTGTTTTTGCGCGGGTTTCTGTTGCTTTCCCAGACAGGCGGTGTTGCATTCCCCCCCCCCCAAATTAGCCTTCAAACTCCTTTGCAGTGTCCCTTTACTGTGCGCATAAGCAGGGGACCGCGGCGTGCATGTTGTTGGGTTTGTTTTGTTTTTATTACTTCGTTTCGCCTGCAGTTTTATTTCGTATTTTCATGCTGTGAACCAGCCCCGAGATCTTCGGGTCTTGAAGGGCGGTATGCCGATTTAATAAAATAAATGGACGTCATTGGGCTGTGTGTGAGAGAAAGAGAGAGAGAGAGAATTTATGCACAGTAGTGCAGCAGCCTAAAAAGGTGTCGATCTGCTGTTGCCTGATCAAAATACGAAACTTCGCAGGAAGTTTTGGAAGAGTGTGTTTTGTACACCTGACAGCTGAATGTACATATATAGTGTAAACATAATGCAGACTACATAAATAACTTTTGCGAGTCCTTCTTTCTTAAAGAGTAAAAAAGTGACTTTGTGTGCATGGTTGGCCAACTCATTCCATAGGTGTGCTCAAATATATTTTATCAGTATTCAGGTGCCAGCATCAAATGTTTCATGTTAGCACAAATAGGTTTATAGGATTTAACTTGCCTGGCTCTCTGGGGATTGTGCCCATAGATAATAATCCAGAAATGGTTACAACTTCATATTTAAACTGGCTTTATGAATGTGTCCTGTTTTAAATGGGCATTGGATGTTGCTATGGTTTATTTTCAAGTTTTTTATTTTAAGAACTTATGAGGCTGTAACATTTAGATATAACTTGTGGACAGTAGCAGAATCTCAGAATTATGGCACAGTACTTTTTGTGCAGCATAACTATATCCATGCAGATTAATAGATCTCACTATAGATAAGGTAAGCCATAAAAATTATATGTCTAGTTGAAGCATTTCCCCCCTATTTTTCAGGAGCCTCCTCACATTGAGAAGCAATGGAAGTAGCAACAAGTCAAACACAACCTTGCAATGAAAAGCAGCTGCCAAATTCTGAAGGTGGATACGTGTGGCAGGTTACCGACATGAATCGACTGCGCCGTTTCTTGTGTTTTGGTTCTGAGGGAGGTACTTACTACATCAAGGAACAAAAGTTGGGCTTTGAAAATGCAGATGCTCTGCTGAGGCTTATTGAAGATGGCAGAGGCTGTGACGTGGTACAGGAAATAAAGACGTTCAGTCAAGAAGGGAGGGCAGCAAAACAGGAGCCAGCATTGTTTGCGCTTGCCGTTTGTTCACAGTGTTCTGATTCCAAAACAAAACAAGCAGCTTATAAGGCTGTCCCTGAAGTTTGTCGTATACCAACCCATCTCTTCACTTTCATTCAGTTTAAAAAGGATCTGAAGGAGGGCATGAAATGTGGCATGTGGGGCCGTGCCCTAAGAAAAGCTGTTGCGGAGTGGTACAATGGGAAGAATGACATGGCTATTGCTTTAGCGGTGACAAAATATAAGAAAAGAAATGGCTGGTGTCATAAAGATCTTCTCAGGTTATCCCATCTAAAGCCTGCAAATGAAGGTAACAACAACTGGGAATTTTCCATTACAGCTATAATTGTCTGGAGTAAGCACTGTCTGTTTGAGTGTGTTGGAAATGAAAGAGTGAGGAATGAAGCCTCCATAAAACTGGGGAGCTGTTGTTGCCCAGGCTCATTTAGACGTTGCAGAAATGAGTGACCACGCATTTTGAAATCAGATACTTAGACAGAAGTGTAACCGTGTGATTTTACTCATGGCTTTCATCGTAATGGGAGAAACGGTTCTTAGTCTGTTACTACCATGTTAAGTAGAATGATAAAAATCTCACTTTAAAAAATCACTTTTTTACTTTATACTTATGTATGGTCTGTTTCATTATATACAGTGAAATGAAGGGGAAATGTCTCTCAAATAGCTAATAAATTATTGGTTTTTTTACATTATAACTGAATTATCTCTGATCATAGTTTCGATATTTTTCTGCAAGCTGTAAATGTAGTTATACTGATGTACGTTTGCATAATCTGCTGTAGATAAAAAACCTGGTCGCTTACTTGACAGTTGGGGGAAAACTTCTTATTAACCATCCTGTTAATAAGCTGTTATGCAAGAGTTACTGAGTATAGCTTTTTTCTATTTCAACAGGCCTTGCCATAGTAACTAAGTATGTAATGAAAGGGTGGAAGGAAGTCCAAGAAGCATATAAAGACAGCAAGCTTTCTCCTGAGACTGAAAAACTGATAAAATATTTGGAGGCAGTGGAGAGGGTGAAGCATACAAAGGATGAATTGGAAGTGATTCATTTGATAGAAGAATACAGTTTAGTTAGGGAACACCTTCTCACAAATCATTTGAAATCTAAAGAGGTGAGTGCATTAAATTTGTTATGTGCACTAACTGTGTAGTTAACGTGATGATGTATAATTGCCTGTTGATTCTTAAATGGTTAAATGTAATATATCCTCATTTTAAAACACCATATCCTGGTCTTTCTATCTCAATCTATACAAGGTGTGGAAAGCATTGTTACAGGAGATGCCCTTAACAGCAATGTTGAGGAATCTAGGAAAGATGACAGCAAATTCTGTTCTTGAACCGGGAAGCCCAGAAGTAGCAGCAGTTTGTGAAAGACTAAGAAACGAAAAACTTCTTAAAAAGGTGAGACTCTCATGTGTGTACTATGCTAATGCAGCTCTGTGCAGTTGAAGTAGATCATTCCAATAATAGAAATTGGTGTTGAAGGTGTAACTACACTTGCAACTAAAAACAGCAATTTCACACTTAAGAGTTTTAGAATTGCAAATTTTGATGGAAATATATTGAACCTGCAAACAGCATAGAGATGGAAGAAAGTTGGCCACTATTTCTAGTTTAAGGAATTGCGGGTGTTGTGGATAAGGTTATAAAAACAAGAATCTTATGAGGTCTTTCTCCTGCACATTGCCATATGTTCAGGAAATCGATTGATCAAGGAAAATGTTGGGAAGCATTTTCTCAGAAAAGGATAAAGTATTGTGGAATTGACAAAACAACAGCACATTATTACTATCTCCTCCATTCTGAGTACCATTTTAAAGGACCATTTTGTAGGAAGAACAGAAACCACTTACTCAAATGGGAAATAAATCTTTCTTTTACTCAATTGGGAAGAGGGTTAATCCTGCAGTGAGGGTTCTAGAGTAAAGTATGATGGAAAGAGTAGAAACACATTAATTGGAGGCAGAGGGTATTGATATTTCAACATCTTAGATCTGATGTGAGGGCATCAGAGAAAAGTTGCTAAAAACAGCAACCCTAAAACAAATTAAAAACCTGAATATCTCAGCATACAGTCGTACATTGGTTCTTGAACAGAATGTGTTCTGGGAGCCGGTTCTACTCCTGGAACCGTTTGAAAACTAAGGAGAGGCCTGCAGCCAATTGGAAGTCGCGGAAGCCACACCGGACGTTCGACTTCCAAAAATCTTTTGAAACCCGGAACACTCACTTCTGGGTTTCGATTGTTAGGGAGCCAAGGCGTTTGAAATCCAAGGTACAACTGTATATTGTGTGGACATCTTGAAATACCCCCTTTGGTGTAAAGTGAAGATTACACAAAAGTTCAGAAAAAGTAATGTAAGCTAGGATGGTCAGAAGACAACTTAAGATGACAACACTTTTTTTTGTATTTAGAATATTGTTTTGTCAATTATATGTCTTTGAGAATGCAGCCCTCTTTTTCTAGGCTCGAATACATCCATTCCATGTTTTGGTTGCACTAGAAAACTACAAAGGAGAACGTGGTTATCGGGGAAAACTTCGCTGGCAACCTGATAATGACATTTTGGAAGCACTTGATGCCTCATTTTACAAGACCTTCAAGGTAATTATCAGTTGTAGCTGCAGAAGTTCACACCTGTTTTAACGGCATGTTGATTTAACCTTTATTTTGAATCTATCCATACATACACGTATAGTATAAGCCTCCAGATGAGCAATCTTCATTTAAGAAAGTATTCAATTTTAATAATAAAGGTTTAAGGTTTAAGGACAGGATGATTAGAGTGTCTTAAGGACTCTGAAAAAACATAAATCTTTTGCTTCTCTGCCTCCTTTCTTGTTCTGGCTAAGTCCCATGGTGACCCATTCTGCAGATTACACTGCTTCAGCCACTTCCTCCTACTGAGTTCCCTGAGGCCTTGTATTTGGGGGAGAGAGAGATTATAAAGAACAACATCTTGTGCATCCTTCTCATACTGTGTGGTCTTCTAGTTCTGGGCAAGAGCCAGTGTTGTGCCTGTAGCGTGACTTCCTTTGCTCGAGGGTCCCTCAAACAGACCTGGAGACTTGTGGGGACCAGGGGGACGGGGGCTGGGACGACGACAACCAGTTTGCACAAGCTGCTTCCTTTACTGTGAGAAGCAAAGTTACAGGGAACCAGGCAGAGGGCCTTCTTGGTAGTGCTGCCCTCCGTGTGGAACACCCTCCCTTCAGATGTCAAGAAGATAAAGAACACAACTTTTAGAAGACATCTGAAGGCAGCACTGTATTGGGAAGTTTGTAATGCTTGATACTTTACTGTGTTTTAAAATATGCTGCCCAGAGTGGCTGGGGAAACCCAGCCAGATGGATGGGGTATAAATAATAAAATTATTTATTTTTATTATCATCATCATTATTAGCAATTGACATAGTTTGGACATCACCCTCTTTTTCTTCAAGGTAGCAATTGCTTGTTCTCAATGTATGCTTATGCTATGAAAGCATGATAATAACAACCACTCTCCCAATTTACCTCTCACACTCTTTCTTTAGACAATGGAGCCAACAGGGAAGCGTTTCATGCTTGCAATTGATGTCAGTGACTCTATGTTCCAAAAGGTTTTGGGTAGTGTGCTGAATGCTAGTACAGTTGCTGCAGCAATGTGTATGGTAAGCTACGTTTGTTTCACCAAATTATTTCAACCCAAATTTGAATGCTGAAGTAGCTTTCTGTTGTCTTTCATGCCCAGACATGCACACTGTCTACAGACCTAATCAAGAGACACTTAAAAACTTAAGTGGGGGGTAGTGTAAGAGAGTAGCTTAGAGAGTCTTTCCTCATTTTTTTAAAGAATTACTTTAAAAGATAAAAGCATGCTTGCAAAGCAAACATAATAACCCCATCTAAATTTTTATCATCTAAAAGTATAATGCAGATAATCATGCCTGTATTTGGGGTGGTTGTGGAAAACAAACAAACAACTTAGTGAGGGAGCAGTGTCCTCCTTTCTACTCCCAAATGTCTCACATTAGCACATTTAGAGCAATGCATAGAGATGTGAAGGCCTGGGGGAAGTACAGGAAAATTGGGGGGAAATGGGTTTCCTCCCAATTTTTCCATTTTCTCCCCAGGCCTTCACATCTCTAGGAAGGCACGAAGGAGCCAGCTTGAGCAGCAAAAGAGATACAAGAGGATGGAGGGATCTGCTAAAGACTGATAAGTTTGACTGAGAAGTACAAGAGGAGAGGAGTTGAAGAGGAAATGTGGCTATAGCAATGGACACTGTGAAAATCCTGAGACAGACAGTGGTACCCTTAGGTCTCCCTTCAGAACATAGAACACAAAATGAAAATAACATGGCTTCATTTTCTGTTTTCTGTTTTGTTTAACACTCTTACCAGGTTGTTGCACGAACTGAAAAAGATTCTCATATTGTTGCCTTTTCCCATGAAATGGTCCCTTGCTCGGTGACTGAGGACATGACATTACCTCAAGTGTTACATAAGATGTCTGAGGTATCTAAAGCGTTTATATTTGTCTCTAATTTTATATGTGGAAGTTCAACTAATAGTCCTGAATTGCAAAAAGGGACTACTGGTAAACTTTCTCCCTCATTTTGAACAAAATATTTTATAAATAATATTTTGAAGTAGCTTGTTCACTTTCAGATTATTTTTTCACCTTTAAATTAAACTGAAGCTGCTTTTGATAACATTTTCATGCAGTTTTCACTGTTCTCCAATCTATATATAATCTGTCAGGGGCTCAGGAGCAGAGGCACAGGGGAGAGAGGAAATGGAGAGCGAAGGGGAAGAATCTGAGGGCAGCGTAGGGGAGTATGACAGTGACCCGAGAGATTCCATGAGCTTCTCCAGCGAATCAGAAGATTCCCAGAAGGGGGCGCCGATGGTCAGGGCAAGGGGGGTCCCAGGGGGGACGCACCAGAAACAAGGGGCCAGCGGGGACTCCCAAAGCAGCAGCGGGAGATCAGGACCAGCTTCCCCACCAGAGCGTAGTGGGGGGGAAGAGTCCCATGTGTCAGGGCCAGCGTCTCCTCCAGCGGGGAGAGAAGATGAGTCAGGGCTGACCACGCCTCTATCGGAGAGTGGGAGAACGGAGGGGAGGTCAGGTCCAGCTAGCCTCCCCGAAGGGGGAAGCAGTGACAGGAGCAGTGTAACGGTCAGGAGGAAGGTTGCCGGCTGGGGGCGCGCGCCAAGTTCGAATGTACAGGCGCGCGGGACAGCAGAAACCCCGGATTGGGAACCAGGTCCTAAAGCCCGCCGGAGGCAGGGGGAAGACTCAGGGGACTCAGCGTCAGAAGAGTCTAGGAAGGGCAAGACCCCAGCGGACAGGCGGAACCAGAGGAGGAAAGAGCAAAGGAAGAGGTGGAGCAAGGCTAGAGTCTTAAACTGGTGTCTGGGGGGAGGAGATTCAGACGGAGCTTCAGCGGTCTAGAGTTTGAGACGTAGAGCTGCGCGCTGCGGCTGTGAAAGCGAAACTGAGCTTCAATAAAGACTTTTGTATATAACAACGAACTGGCGTTGGTCCTTTGTGAGCTGGGACCTCGGGCAGCTCTGACATAATCCTATACATATGGACTTGGATGTAAATCCACTTGTGTTCAGTGGGATTTTCCATCTAGTAAGTATATTTAAGATCTTAAAATCTGTGATTAGTTTGTTTGAAAAGATGGAATCGAGAACTTCAACATCAATAGACTCAACAAAAATATAGAATTAAAATTCATTTTTGCTATTGAACATCATTATATGTACATGACACTTTACATAGTTGCATGCCAAAATCGAAAAAACAAAACAAGACCCTGGCGTTAAGAGTTTACACCGTAAATTTCAAAAGGAGGAGTAACAGGTAGAGAAGGAAGAGACAAGGCTAAGATGGAAGACCAAGGGCAGTTGCTTCGTCGCAGTTGAGGCTGAGCATAGATTTGAAGTGATATTGGAAGGGAGAGGAAGAAAGAAAGAGACATATAGGAGTTCTAAGGATAAGGGACAGAAAGAGAATGTGGCTAACACTGTTGTAAGAATAGGAGTCTTTGGGTCAATTGCTGGCAATAGAGTTTGAGTAAATGTTGTGGACAGGGATGTAAAAGGAAATAAGAGCACAGAGAGATACTAGGGCAAAACCTTGGAGAGCTATATGGGTAAAAACAAAAAGTTTATCCTGGATGCTGAAGAGTATAGGAAGTCGTCAGGGATTTGCGGAGGGCTTCTCAGAGTGCACCAGTGTGAGAGATGAGTAGAGTTTTGAACCGAAGTACAGTTCCCATCTAAAACGTCTGCTGACTTGTTTTGTTAATAATGGTTTCTTATTTTTCCTAGATTCCAATGGGTGCCACAGATTGCTCTCTTCCAATGCTATGGGCTCAGAAGACAGGTGTAGCTGTCGATGTCTTTATTGTGTTAACAGATAATGAGACATTTGCTGGAGATACTCATCCTGCCACAGCCTTGAGGACGTATAGAGAGGTAAAATGCCGTTTGTACAACTTGGCCATGAAGTTGTTTCTGTAGGAAATAGCTGGTTTTTAAATAGTTCCCAGCTTTTAAAAGGATGACTGCTATGTCGCAGAAATAAAAACTCTTTAGAATCATTTATGCGTGGCAGTTGAAACTACGATACTAGTGCCTGGCACACTGTTAAAAATATTCCAGTTTGCAACAGCAGCACTCAAAAATAAAGCATTTTCTTCAAACATTTTGCTCACTTCACATTTACTCTGGTCAGTATCAGTGTAAGGTGCTGTACTTTGTGGCTCTTCAGTGGGTCTGCATCATGGTCAACCAGATTTGTGCATGTGCGGCTATAAAAGCTCTCCAAAAGCCAAGCCGGGCCAATAAGAAAATGATTTCCGTAGGTAGGACAGATAGGCAATGGCAGTAGGAGAGCCAGTACCACCTCTCTTTTGTCCTAATGTGCAGCAGCGGGGGATGTTACTGTACTGGAAAACAGATGGAATTGGAAACCCAGGGAAATTGCCGATGAATACTGTCTTGCATGCAAAGAGGTGGGGCAGGTCAGCTGGGTTTCCTGTATCTGTCACAGTAAAGTGTAAAAGACTTGGCTTTTGTAAAGAGTTCATACTTGGTTGTGCAGCTGCACACTGGAAAAAACGTGTTTCTTTTTCTTCTTCCTTTAGAGAATGGGTATTCCATCCAAGCTGATAGTTTGTGGGTTGACATCCAACAGTTTTACCATTGCAGACCCAGATGACAGAGGCATGCTGGACATTTGTGGCTTTGACACAGGAGCACCAGATGTCATTCGAAACTTCACTTTGGATTTGATTTAAATCTGTGAGCACCTGCTTTACTGAATCTGTTACTTGCTGAAGACTTTGACCTGGGACTTACCAGTCGGATTGACTGACTGTACTAACTTATGACTGAGTTTGACTCATCAATTGGAAAGTTGAACTTTTTTAAAGGGGATGTACAGACAAGTAGAGGCAGAATCCACTTTCTGGGGAGATTGTTTACGTCTGTTGCATATAGTTTTAAAATAGCAGTGGAAGGCCTTATAGAAATACCTATGGAACACCATATGTGTTTAATTTTATTAATAGCTTACCAATAGCAAGGTATTCCAACAATTTATACATTATTTTCTGAGAATAATTTTATTCTGTTACTTCCAGGATGGGAAGTGATTTTAAGATTTTACATTGTGTTGGGTTAATAACTGTTTGCTTGAGTAGCTGTTACTCATTGTATTGAAAAGGAAAAGTGAGACCAAGTCTGCACTACAGGTTAACTCACTTTTATTAATGTGTGTTGGTTCACATTGTGTACACCACACTTAATTTTGGTAACTTGCTGCTTTCAGTGCTCCTTTTATTTGTAGGGGATTCTGTTTCTATATGTGTTGGGATATTTTTTTGGACAACTGGATTGTCCCAAGGGATATGTGGGTGGTGTTTGGTCTTCAGCCTCCTCCTTCATCATTCCTTGTTTCAAAACAAGTCTTGCAAGAATTGCACGATTTCGTAGTCATGCATTCTCATCACACTAATTCACGAATAAGCATATTTTAAATTTTATACGTTTGCTGATATGAAGAAGGATCACCAAGCAAGTTTGTCTTTTTGCACATTTTAATCAAAGGCAAATGAAATTACAAACCTCACCATTTGAAGTACAGGGACAAAGAAGTAGAGAGGATTGTTGGCAAAGATAAAAATTGGGACAAGTAATTTCATGCTAGTAAATGGTGTAGGGAATATACCCTGAAACAGTCTTTTAAGTGTGACAGCACTGAACCTGTACAGGTTTCCAGGTATTTTGAGTGCAGTTGATGCCAGTGAGAAGCTAAATTCTAGTCAACAGTGATTTGTGGTATACTATTAGTGCAGGCAAAGCCCATGGACCAACCTTGTAGTTTTCACCTCAGCTGTGTACAATAGGGAAATACTTATGGAATGCACTAGACCACACAACTGTGATAGGGGTACAAAAGCTACATATATTTTAAACTGAACGGGGGAGTTTTAATTAAATTATAATGGATTTTTTTGGTCTTTTCCGGAGCTGAATGTATTGGTACATACTACTACCATTACCTTATCTATGAGCATTATAGGTAACAAACTGCCCTTCTTTATGCCTTGTTCACTTTGTTCAAAACCCATTTACTTCCACCAGCTTCTATAGAAAGTTTTAATATATTGGGTTCTTCTTTGCAGGGCACTAGTGTTAATCAGTGCAACTGGTAGAGCAAAATTGATACTTATGCATGTATATTGGAGTCCTGAAATATGCCATATAATACAAAAAATAACAACCATACCCTTCCTTTCTGATGTTTTAGTCCTAGGTTGATAAATTTCTTTCAAGTGTTCTTTTGAAAACACTTCTCAATGCAAACACTAATCTATTGTCAAAGTCCAGTGTAATTATAGCAAAGTAATTACACAGTGCATTCTGCAAACATTTTATAGTCCACAGTTTGTATGGGCCTCAGCCTAGTAAACATTTGATTAAATTGTAATGAGCAGGGATGCAGCAACTGCCTGCATCTTATCCAGTCAAAAGTGTTTGCACTGCATTTTGTATAAGGTACCTATTATAGGTGCTTGCATTTTTTCACAACTTCAGAATGTTACTTGAAAATGCTTTTTTCTTTTTTTCTTTTTAATGCTTAAAATGGCTAAAGAATCCAGGAAATCACAATTTGCAATTGTTGCAGGATGTGCATCTTAAGACATTAGTAGTTATGTAAGTAGTGGCATATGTTTAATACAGGACTGCAAAGTTCGACTAAGTGTAGAATAATTCATTAATTTTTTTGATCAAAAAGATTAATAGAGTAACACATTTTCAATAATAGTAATGTAAGTACTTCACCTGGAAATTCCAGGCATTGTCTTAGAAAAGTCCAAGATTAATATATTCAAGATAATTAATAATTTGGTACAGTTCTTTAGAAGGAGATTGTTTCTGTAATTGCCAAGATGCATAGTTACTTTTCTGCCCTTCACAGAAGCAGCCATCCATCAGAAGCAGCTATATTTAAAATATTGCCGTATGAAGTACTTGTGGCTGCAATCTCTTGTCTAATTTTTTTTATTAAAGGAGGCAAGTGTCTAAAAATGTTACCACAACACTGTGCTGCTTTTCTAATAACATGGATGATATTTGTTTTAGATTAGCTCTTGTGTACATAGCAGGCATTATTTCCTTCGTGTTAAAAGATAATAATTCTGTTATGAGTATTATGCTTCTTCCTGTAGAGCGATGCCCTACATGGATTAGATGCATGATTGATCAACAAATACTATTGACAGTTACTGACCAAATGAACAGAACTACTGCCCTCTCCCTAGGTATGAGAATATCAAAAGCACAGAAAATGGTAAATGATAGAATAGGAAATTGCTACTAAGTGTGAAAATAGTTGCTACACATACAACGTTACTAACATAAAGTATGCTTTGTACAGCGTTGGTAAAAGTTTAGTGTAAACATTAGGCGAGTCAGAATAAGCTAATTGTTCAAGTAGAAAGAAGCTGACATGACTTTGTGTGGCTTTAGCACAAATTTAATTCATTGAAAACTAAAAGGAATAGCTGTAACTACCATATTTTTACACTTTCAAAATTAAGTACAGTTAACTCGTGTTATACACATTTCGCTTGTGTGCATTCAGTTTTATGCACTTGGCAAATTAAAAACTAACAAACAAGGGGGCAGACCTGAAAAAAACTAACTTTTGCAATTCTATCCATCATTGCATCCAGTATGTTTTGACTATATGTAATTTTGACTTTATGCATTATCCCTGGAATGTAACTTCCACGTAAGTTTGAGAGTTGCCTGTTTCCAGTTGTTTTGCAGGCTGAGATTTAGGGCCAGTTCCTTTGTAGAGGAATGCCAGTGGATTTGCAGGAAAGAAGAGCCTAAACTGGGGTGGGTGGCTGATTGGTGGCTTCCAGATGTTGCTGGACTCTTAACACCCATCAGACCTTGTCAGCATATCCAGTAATGATGGGAGTTGTAATACAGCAGTGTCTGAAGGTCCACTGGTTGGCTACTCCCCTGTCATAAACATTGGTGAGATTCTGAAGAGTTAATAGTACTAACACTAATAATTTTATTATTTGTATGCCGCCCATCTGACTGGGTTGCCCCAGCCACTCCGGGCGGCTCCCAACAGAATATTAAAAACACAATAAAACATCAAACATTAAAACCTTCCCTAAACAGGACTGCCTTCAGATATCTTCTAAAAGTCAATTAGTTGTTTATTTCCTTGACATCTGATTCCTGCAGGGTGGGTGCCACCACCAAAAAGGCCTTCTGCCTGGTTCCCTGTAGCTTCACTTCTCGCAGTGAGGGAACCGCCAGAATGCCCTCAGAGCTGGACCTCAGCGTCCGGGCAGAATGATGGAGGTGAACACACACCTTCAGGTATACAGGGCCAAAGCTACGTGTGCCAGATTATATCGCTATGTCCTGTAGAATTTTGCTTCCTACCCCATTAAAGGGTAGTAACTCCACTCCACCCACATAATACATTGCTTTTGAGATTTCCCTTGGCCTCAGAAGAGATTTTCTATATGGCTATAGAGTGGGTTGGCTGTTGAGGAAATGCTAGTCAAAATCTTCTAAGAGCATATCGCATTATTGGTTGTGCAGTTTTGATGCCTCTTTCAGCAAAGCCCTATTGTTTATCCCCCTCTAATCTATGGATACACAAAGTATTGGTTCTAGGTCTGTTATTTTGATTAGGCTAGCTGTTTTTATTCTCCAGAACTCCTGGGTCGACTTCGTTGAAAAATGCTCATTGTTTGACACACTCCAGGAATGTAAAAGAGCATGGAAAAAGCCAGATGTCATTTGTGACCTGCCTGCCAGATGGCATTCAGAATTCAATTGTTCAAGCAAATGATCTGAATTGCCTTTCCAGGCATGGCCAAACTTGGCCCTCCAGATGTTTTGGGACTACAGTTCCCATCATCACTAACCACTGGTCCTGTTAGCTAGGGTTGATGGGAGTTGTAGTCCCAAAACATCTGGAGGGCCAAGTTTGGCCATGCCTGCCCCACACAATATCAGTGATCCTTTTAGATCAATTCATGGGCTTTGTGCCACTATTTTATGAAAAAATGTAGGAGTTAAGCCCCGTTTCGCAGAAGTTTGTCTACAGTATACAAATGTTTCTCAGGGATATGGCTAGCTATTCTGATTTTGATGTCAATATGCTATGAAATTCAATCCTGCCTTTTTCTGCCTGTGTTGCAGAAGCAGCAGAGTGTAGCAGGTAAGGCGGAAGGAAGGAAGGGAGCAGCAAATTTAGAGTTGAAGGTGAGGTGTCATAATTGGTCCTGCATCCAAGATGGTTAAAGGCTCTTAATCATTCTTCTATGTGCTAGTTATCTCTGTTGTGTCCTCTATTGTGCAGATCTCAATGGGACATAATAAAATAGGTTCATGTGGGCAGAACAGGCCAGACTTCAGTTGGTTACTAGGTAGGTAGCATTAAAGTGTTGATATAGGGCAGGTTGCTAAGCAGCTATGAGTGATTGAGTGCTTAAAGAAATTGAATGAATGCTTCTACAAAAAGAAAACGAAAAATGGTAAGCATTTGGGCAAACAAACAGTTAATTCTGAGTTAACAGTTTTTCATATGCTCATTATAATGGAACTAAGTTATTAACTCTGGGAAAGTCCTATAAATGTCACTGTGCAGCTGCTACTTGAGGAGTCTCTACAAAAGAGGATGCAGAAGTTCAAAACTAATACTGAGAAACGATTGTAGGAATAGCATACATGGGTACTTGGGGGTGGAAGAATAAAAAATTAAGGCCCTAATGCTAAAAGAAGTATTGAGAAGGAAAATGTATTTCTTGGAAAGTGTGTTGATTCCTTCAAGTGCATGTCTTTCTTCAAATTGTAAGACACATAATTATAAAAACGGTCTAAATTAATAATCAGAAAAATGAAGGCTTTTAGCAGGACTGATGAACACGCAGAGATGAGAAACAAACTGATCTCTTTGAAAAGGGATGCAATTAGCACTTTATGAGATTTTGGGAACACAAATTAAAATTTAACCGAAATTGTTCTTTCTGCTTCTGTATGCTGTTTCAAACCTGCATGTTACATAGGAGGATACAAGGCCTTATTTTTCCTGCCCATCCTCTCCACTGCTTCCCGCCCTCCCCGAATCAAAGCTTCCTGGCAATTTGAAACCCCAGGAAAATGTGGCATATGGTATAGGTGGGAAGAAAAAGGGCAGGAAAACCTTGTTACGTGAGCAGCCTCCTGCTCACGAAAATGTGGATGCAAGCTGTTGTAAAGCATGAGCTGATTAATGCTGACAAGTAGACAGTCCATAAAGCTAGACTATGAGTGTAATCCAAGGCCAGGCAGGCACTGGTGCCTTGTGTGTGTTTCTGTGGAGTCCATGTGCTTATGAGAATTTCCTGTTACGTGTGCAGAATACTCCTGAGCTCACGGAAGAGTACATGAAATCCCTGGTGTGTGTCACATCTTCTGGCTCACGAGTTGTAAATTGTTGAGGGTCTATGGAATACACCATGATGTTATTATTTTTGCATACACTAATTCTGAATATATTTTAATGCTGTCACATCTCACTACAGAAATGCTACTGTCTTAACTTGCGACTCTTTCACAACCCAGCTGCTGTTTAGCCGCCATTCATTTTTCTCATTACTTGATTTATGAAAGTACATGGGAAGGGCTGAATGAATAGTGCTCTAATTGGGTATCTTTCCCCTTTCAGTAGTTATAGAGGTCATCTTAATTCCCCTTTCTCTGTTTGGCCACTTTCTTTTCTGAGGTTTGTCTGTTCCAGGTATGATTTGGGTATTGCTAGTCTCACCTTTGTTCTTTTTTTAATGATAGATAAATATATTTGCTGTTTCTTTACACTTTTGTAAAGGTGTTCTTTTCTGTCGAGTAGTAGGCGGAGCCTATAGGCTGATGCAAACACAACAAATTCATTAAACTGGTTGAGAGGGCCTTAAGTTTGAGTTGAGCCTCAACAATGGCTAAGGTTTACATCAACACTGGTTAATGCTAACTACGATTCACACTTCATTGGGATTTTTAATCAGCTTCTGACTTTTTTTCTGGTTAGTTCTAACCATGATTAACATCTATGCCAACATACGCCTCAATTGCGTTGAAGCTTTTCTGGGAAATTCAAGCTGGGTGGGTGGGTGGCAGTGAGCCACCAAATAACTGGCTCCCAAGTTTTTAGCCATGGCTAGGGGATCAGAAAGTATTGCAGCTCCTTAGGCCTATGGTGCAATGACCTCTTATGGCCATAGCCTCTGATGGTTTCACAGAGCAGCTTTGTGTACTCCCACCCTCATACTGGAGTGGGATTGCATGTATTTGAATGGCACAAAAGAACTTCAGTTGAGATGGTTTCACCAGAGAAGATTAGTTAGAAGTTTGAGAAATTGAGGGCCCAGTTAGGCAGAAAGCTGTGGGACACAAGTTGAATAATCATGGTACTTGTTGAGTACAATCGAAATAAAAAAATGAGCACAGAACAATGAAGTTCTTAACATTTTTTTTTTAAAAAACTGCTTTTTTGTGCTTTGTTCTTTTGGTGTTTCCAAAGTTCTGTTTGTAGAATCTGAGCAAAAGCAATAATTCTATCGTACAACAAGGACCCATTCGCTTGAAGGAAATGCTTTAGTTGCCGCTGGTTTCCTTGCAGAGGAGAAAAAACATAGTGCTTCACAAAGTATATACTCAAATTCATGCTCACAAAGCTCAATTAAAAATGTCCTAAAATAAGACAAGCATGTGGAAACGCTCCACTTGCCACCAGTTTCCTTGCGGAGAAGCAAAAAAAAGCTTTACAGTTAAAATGCCCTAAAAATCAGACATACATGGGGAAGGCCGGAACTAATTTTTGTGGTATTAGAAATGTGTTCTTGGACTCGCAAAGTGAGTGAGAAGTTAATGACTATTGTGGAAGTATGAATGTACTGTATATGCATGTGGCTCTGCCGTTTTTTCTTTTATTTTCATGTACCCTGAATTTGGAGTATAGGAAACACACGAGACGAGTGCACTTTAGTGTGGCACAGTATAAACTTAACTATGAGCACAATAGGGA